TCAGGGCCCGCCCCGCCCCGCCCCTCCAAGCCCGGTCCCTGGGCGCGCGCCCCTCCTCGCCCCCTCCGGGCCCGGTCCCCCGCCCCCGACGGGCCCTGGGGCTACAAGGGGTCTTGTCCAAGATCCCGCAGCCTTTTTCTGGTCTGGAATCTGTGCTGGCCCCACGGGCGAAAGAGGTGGAAGGAGAAGGGAAAACAGCGCAGAACGCTCCCGCATCTGTACTTAATCGCGGTCTGTAGGTCCGGGCCTCTCACGACTTATGATCCGGTCAAGGATATAAAGTGTCAGGGAGCGCAGCGGGCAGTCTGGCAGAAGAGGTGAGGCTGCCGTTCCGAGGGCTTCTAGAGGGTAGTAAGCCTCTTCCGTCCCCTTACGGGGACGGAAGGGAGCAGCATTCAGTCTCTGGGTCACTAGTTCTAAATTCATTCCCAATCACTCACTGAGCATCCATTGTGTAAACCACGTGGACGCAAGGAGAAAGACGACGCGGTCCTGCCCTCGCGAGCGTCCGGCCTGTCTGCCCAAACTACCTGATGCCGCCTGGAAGCACTGGGCCCTGAGAAAGCAGCTGGATTCTCCTTGGCAGGCGGGATCGGCGGGTCTCCTGGAGGAGGGGCCCCTTGAGCTGTGCAGGGGGGAAGGGAGGAGAGCTCTGCCAGCGCTGGCAGGGACACGAGAGCCGTCAACTTACACATGTTTCCTGAGCACCTACTCTGTGCCGCGCACTGTTCTCTCGGTGAACGGAAGCCGACGAAAACTCTTGCCCGGAGGGAGGCTGCCGCACTTTAGTGGGCGGGTGGTGACCGTGCACACCTAAGGGCGTAAACTGCGCGATGTGGCAGGGTGCTTCGGAGAAAAGCGAGAGCAGAGCAGGGTCAGCGGACCTGGACGCGGTCGGGGGCAGTCGCAGATCCGAGGAAGCCTGGCGGGCGCTTCGCCGAGTGCTCTGAGCACTTACGGAGGCCCCGGGCATGAAAGGGCCGCAGTCCTACGTCTGCAGACAGCGTGGCGTGACCGCACGACGCGCGGGCCGGCCAGGAGAGGGTGAGGCTGGAGACAGGTCAGGGCAGGGTAAGGGCCGGCCTAGGTTGGTGAGGTGGGAGCCCAGGAGTTAAGAGGTCGTGAGGGGATCGGGCTTGGGTTGCAGACAGCGCTCGGGCAGCCAGCCTGAGGGGTGGTAGCCAGGAGGCAGAGCCACCTGAGAGGGGACTCAGAGACTCCTCGGTTTCTGCCTTGGGTAGCCGGGTGGACGCGGGCGCCCTGAAAAGGCCCGCGAAAATGCGTGGCTCCTGGAGGGGCCGGTCCACGCACCCCTATTCTGGCCCCTGTCAGAGATCCAGGTGTCCTGTGGTCCAGGTCACATTCCCTGCGCCTGACTGCAGCCATCTCATCTGCACATGCCCAAAGCTAAGGCCGAGTCGGGCACAGAGCCGGGAGATCACTTGCTCTTCTCTCACAGGGGATTTTCTTTCACAAATTCAACAAATCTTGATTGAGCACCTTGTGCCTTCTAGGGCATACGGTGATGAAGAACACATCCACGCATGCCTGCATGGGGTCTGCGGTCTAATGGCCTAGGTGGGGCAGTCTTCATCCCACCCTGAGATTAACCACAGACTCACAAGCCGGTGTGGTATGCAAAAGGGATGTTTCCTGAAGGATGACACCTGAGGTGAGAGATGAAGGATGATGGGGAGTAACTCGGGGTGCCCTGGGGGGCCAGAGCAGAGCAACAGTAACTACAAGGCCAGGGACCAGGCAGAGGGTAGAGACCAGCCAGTGCAAACCTGAGTGAGGGGGTGACAAGGAGAGAGTGGAAAATCACAGGCACAGGAACAGATCCGCGGCTGGCTGTCAGGCTGGGGTGCGAGAGGGAACTTTGGGTGCTGGAAATAGTCTCTCTTGATTGCAGTGGTGGTTACACAACTGTGAATGTTTGTCAAAATTCATAGTACTGTGAACCAAAAAGGACGAATTTCACTGTAAATTATACCCCAATAAGCGGTCCTTTAAAATAAACACCTTTATTTTTTTAAAAAAATGAGAAAAGAGCCTGGCAATGCAGCAAGGGCAGAGGATACACTGCCCCTGGGAGGGGTTTTGGTCTTTGAAGCGGCCACCGCTGGTTGCTGAAGAAAATGGGCCCTGAGCGAGCACTGAGCCGGCAGGACAAAGAGGCCCGGATCCTCCGAGATAGGCACTGCCTGGTGCTGTGCACAACGTAGGCCACCCGAACCCCCCCCCCCCCCCCCCGCGCTCCACGTCAGCAGCACAGAAGGCTACAGCTCTGATCCTTGCCACCAGGCCTCCCGGGTGACCAGGAAGTTATGAGGGTTTGGCACTCATCTAGGGAGATTACAGTCACAACTGTGAACTGTGAGTGCTGCAGGAGGGGAGGGAGGGCAAGACACCAGAGACCCCAGGTGGGAGGGTCCTGCCTGCTGGGAGTGGCATGGAGTCACCCACGAGGACTGATCCTGACCCTGTGCAGGGGAGCCCGGCTGGGGCTGGGGCTGGGCCCAGAGAGGGAGCGGTGGTGGAAGGGGAAGGCCTGCTCGCTGGAGGATGCTAACTGCACAAGCCCTCCCTCAGGGTGGGCACCTCAGCCACCTAGGTGCAGCCTGGGATCCCCAAACCTGCCTGGCCAGTCTGCATGCAGCTAGACAGTGACTGTTCTAGCTGCTTCCCCAGAGGCCTGCTGACCTAGACAGAAGAGCCAATGAAGCACAGCGGCAGAACAGAACCGGAGACCTCCCAAGGCCTTGTTAGGGCATTGAAGTGAGAACAGCACTGCCGCCTATTTCAGACTGGAACACCCACACCTCACCATTTACCTGGCGCACAGCCGAACCGGCTCTCTCGAGCTGACAAGCTGACCTCAGCAAGGCAGTGGCTGGCCCTGGTCACCTGGCGGCTTAAAAATACACCTATGCCTCAAACCAGCCTGATCAGAATCTCTGGAATCAGCCCTGGCGCCATGGTGAATTTTTTAAAGTGCCCCAAATGACTCGCAGGCCCAGCCAGGGCTGAGAGGCGCCCTATGAAAGGAGCCTTCTCTAGACACAGAGGCCAGACAAATGCCCGCAGCGTTTGTCTCCTAGGAGCTGGGGCTAGTCTCTGGACAATGTCCTGGGACAAAGGGAGCCCAAGTGGCAAACCCTCCCTCTTCCTGGGAAGCCTGAATGATGAGAGTGGGGAAGACTGGAAGCTGCCCCATCAGGGTCTGTCAGCAACCACTGAGGGCCCGTGTACCCCTCTCCCAAAGGAAACAACACCCATGCCTCTCATGACCGAATTCAAAAACTACCTCACACCCTTTACACTCCTATAGAAACAAGTTGCCTAATGATTTCCTGCACAGCTACTTGGGAGGGGATTTCATCACCATTTCCAGACCTGCAGGGTCGACTGCTCATTTCTTGTAGGATAGCGCCACCTTGTGGTCTGTCCTGACATGACTCCATATCCACCTCTTCTCAAATTTGACAAGTGCCAGGACCACTTCTAAACCCGTTAGCTCATTTAACCCTCACAATCACTGAAAACAGGTATTGCCATAACCATACAGAAACTGAGGCAAGTGTTGGGAAACACACTCAGCTGCCTAGGAATGGGCCTTGGGCCTGGAACACATCCTTGCCAAGGGCTACGGAGCCCACATGGCCTGTGCTGCACTTGTGACTCCTGTGGGATTAGCTTCCTTGTTTCAGGCTCAACGAATGTTTTGTCTGCTGAAAATGTGTGCATCATATGGCACCTGGCCAACCACACTGCTATCTGCCCTCCGAGAGGAGAGGAGGGGTGGGGGTCCTTCCACTGAGACGTGAGGGCGAACTGCCCTGCCACTGCACAGGGGCACATCCAGTGGCTGTGGAGGACCGACACCCACTACTGAAGCTGATCTTGCCGTCTAAGCGTCATCCCAACCATGCGCGACTGCGACTGTTTTCTCCTTGGCGACTCCCACACCAAGATGCAGTGGACAGTTTAGAGCCTGCCCCTGGGAATGCTAACTGGTGCATGGTACTCAACAGAGGTGACGGAATTTCTCCTGAAATTCTACTTCCTACCACAGTTAGCAAGTGGTAGAACCAGGATTTAACCCCCAAGTAGTCAGGCCTGGCTGGGACCTTAACTGCTATACCCATGTTAGGATCTGGGCCTTTAAGAACCTGTTTGAGTACTGTGCCCCACTCACTCGCCCACCACCCCAGGCAACTCGACCTCTGTCCCACAGCCCTCAACCCAGGGTCACAGCTCTGGCAGGCACCCGGGCTCTGCCCTTTAAATGTCAACGAGATGTGAGGCTGCTCTTTCAGTTCCAGGGGCTCCTCTCCTGTCTCGGGATGTCCTTTCCCTGGAACGCATGGCCCATTCTGCCAGGCTGACACCTACTCATCTCTGTTCTCAGCTGACAGGTTCCTTCTCTGAGCCCCTTATCTGCACTGTCCTTTCATCTCACCTCATCCCATACTCTTCCTAACCTTCACTTCATGAGTGGCACTTAGGAAACACACACGAGTGACGTTTTATTTCTCTGTCTGAGCACACAAGTGTCTTAGTCTGGGGGGAAAAAAAAATACTTACCCCTATCCCTGCATCAAGGAACACTTCCACATGGCAGACATTCCAAGGATGGGATGGCTTAGCCTGCAGCTATTTCCAAGAAGGCTCATCAACTCCTCTATTTAACTATCATTTTCCTTCTCACGGAGCTCATTTTACCCAAGTGACTTTTACATCTCACGAGTGCAGACTGGCTTACTCCCACAAATATCTGCCTATTTCTATCTATTTATTTTCAAACTTAGACTAAAAAAGGGATGACTTTATTTGTCCATTGGAACCACAGCCCAAGATTAGGGATACACGGAGGTGGAAACCAGGACACCCATCCTGTTCCCACCAGAAACCATAATCAAGGAACATTTCCCTTCCCGTCTTCAAAGACAAAGGACACCGAAAAAAGAAATTTTTTTTTGAATTTTAACAGTTCAAATCAGCGTGCTTGGTTCATTTCAGCTCCTTCACTGCCAAACCTAGAGGAAAAGATACAAAAGTGATTCATCCAGAAGATAACATTTTATCTGAGTTACTGTTCCTTGTCTGGATTTTGTTCTTAAGCTAAAGAGGCCTCACAAAGCTCAGAAAAGCCCACCAGGGAGGTGCTGCTTAAAATACGAAGTCAGTGTTTGATAACACAAATGCTCTCGTTCAGCCTTACAGAGGTGCCACGCAGTTCTTATGGAGCCGAGCAGTACTGGGTGGCTGTTCACTCTGAAGAAGCCTGCAGAACCCTCTACTCTCCTCTGGCTGTCTCCTCACAGCTCTCTGCAGCTCTCCTGGGCCTCCTGCACCAGGATGGGCCCCTCTGCCTAACCTCTGCTTGTGGCCTACTGTATTTCATCAGTTTCCCAACCTGTACACTGGGGTCATCGATACCAGCACCTCCCTGCAGGACTGTGGTGAGGATGAAAGGAGTTACACAGAGTAAGGGTTAGCTGTTCCTATCCTGCACTAGGAAAGCATGGAGGGGAGCGAAACAAACATCCCCTTGGCCAGGGAAACCACTTCCTATATGGGACAGAACCTCTGAGAAGTCACTAGTCCTTGCACCACCAACAGCAGGAGCAGATCTTTAGACACACCACCAAATGCACTTTTCTAAACCAGGGGATAACTCAAGAAACACGATGGCGACGCGTGCACCTTCCACAGTTCTGGCTGCCCCCCAGGGTTTCCGGATCACTCACCCGGGGGCAGGGACTGCTTCAGCTTCTCTGCCTTCTCTTTGTCTGTGATGACCAACGTATAAAGGTATCTGCTGCATCGCACTTTGAACTTCACATTATCCTTATTCTTCTTGATCTTGACAGCTACCAGAGACAAGAATCAGTAATTAGATTGTCTCACAGAAAACAGATGTCACACAGCTCACCTGCTTCATACCTATGCAGAACGTGGCACTTACGACTGCCACCACTGACAGAGCTGTGCTCGCCCCCCAGACTGCCCCTCTGTGGAATCAGAAAACAAGACTCCCCGTCCCTCCACGACCTCAATATTTAAAAATGGAGCCAGAAATCTACATTTCCCCTATTAATGCTCAAGAGCCTAGGGCTTAATCTTAATTGGTTTGTTTATACTTAAAACATAAGAATCTGGTACACTGAACATTCCAGAACACTCTATGTTCATCTTTTTTTTTTTTGGTGAAGAAGTCTGGCCCCGAGATAACATCTGTTGCCAATCTTCCTCTACTTTGTATATGGGACGCCGCCACAGCACCACTTGATGAGCAGTGTGTAGGTCCATGCCTGGGACCTGAACCCGCAAACCCCGGGCCGCTGAAGCGAAGTGTGCGAACTTAACCATTTCGCCACTGGGCCGGCCCCTCCATCCTTTTTTTGATGGGATGGAAGTAGTTCATTAAGTAAGCAGATGGATTATCTGCTGGGATCAAGACCTTTCTACCACTCTACTTCTGGAAATTAATTCTCTGCGTATGAGATGACATCCTGGGGCAATGGTAAAGCTCTTCCTTCAGGATCCCCCTACCCCACATAGCAAGCATGTGCTGAAGCTTTTCCTAAAATTTGTGTAGAACCCATTTTCTGGGCTCTTTACTGCTGCCAAATTCTATCTCAGGACCACTGCTCAGACAATAAAGAACCCCAGTGCAGGGTTTGAAATTTTCCAAACAGCCTGGTTATGTACAAGCATCACCGCATCTCCCTGAGGCTCTTAGCTGCTCTGGCTGCTGGAAGACACCCACTTCCCAGGAGTAGGCTAGTTATTTCATGTACCTGTCAAATCCTTCATTCCAACTTCTTTGAACAGCTCACAGACACTCCCAAGAACTTGTGGTTATAAGCGTAGGGAAGTGCCAGTTGAGAATCAGGTGGCTAAGGACTGACCACGGTCTTCATGGGCCTCAGCCTAAGTACCTGACACACAGCACTTAGCACCTTCCAGAAGCAGCACAAGGTTAACCTGTACGCACGACCCACAGCTCCATCCCTGCCAATGATGCTACAGGAATAAGGCACGGCACAGGAAGCAGCAGCACTGTGGCTCTGAGCCTGCCAAGGCCGTGACTGCCTCAGCTCATGTTTTATTAAATCCAGAAGCCTAGATGTTCATCAAACCAAACTATTTTGCTATCTCAACATTCCTCTTAAAGCTAAGTACACTGCACTGCCCCTGGCAGCCGCTGGGCGCCTATAAACTAAAGTGAACACTCGTAAACTTAAGACATGGATCTCCCAAAAAATTCAACATTGTCATACGATGCAGTAATTCCACTTTTGGGTATACACCCAAAAGAACTGAAAACGGGGGCAAGAAGAGATACTTGTACACCAATGTTCACAGCAACGTTATTCACAACAGCCAAAAGGCAGAAACCACTCAAATGTCCACCTACGGACGAATGGATAAACAAAATGTGGTATATTCATACAATGGATTATTCAACCTTAAAAAGGGAATGCTGACAACTGCTACTACATGGTTGCATTCAGTATGCCAAATGAAGTCAGCCACTCGCAGGACACACACTGTTATGACTCCACTTACATGAGGTACCTACAGGAGTCACACTGATAGAGACAGAAAGCAGAATGGTGGCTAGCAGGGGCTGGAGGGGGAGAATGGGGAGTCACTGTTTAATGGGCACCGAGTTTCCGTTTTGCAAGATGAAAAGTTCTAGAGATGGATGGTGGTGATGGCTGCACAACAATGTTAATGTACTTAATGCCAGTCAACTGTACACTTAAATAGTTTATTCAAAAAACACTCAGTGAACACTATTATATCCAGGGGACCACAACCCCTACTCTCATAGGCACACTGTCTAAAATCTGGCTCCTGAACAGAATTAAAATGCAAACAAACCTGATGATTTATTTGGTGGCATTTCTTCAATGTGCTAAGGTCTCTAACGGAACATCTGATCTGGTCCTTGAACCAATCCCATCAGACATACACCTCCCCCCCAGAAGGAACCGGTGGTGTCGTGTTGAGCACACCTACCTACTAGAGCTGGGATTTCAACCAGGCAGAGAGACCCAAATTTCCTGGTCTAAACTAAAACTGACGTGATAATCGCCTCTTTTATAGCACAACAGCATATAAGACACAAGCATGCGGTCCCCACAACCAGGGCAGGGCAGACATGCCGGATGCTACCTGTTCCCACAGGTGGTCGCCAGTTCACAGTATCAGAGGATCAAAGGCAACAAACAGGTAACGGGGACACAAATACGACTCTCCCGACCCCCTGTGAACCCACAAAAAGGCTCTCCTACGCCCCACAGTTTCATCCTATCACCGACATAGGGTATTAGAGATGACCAGTGTCTTAGCCCGTCCCAACACGTCCGCCCCAACAGTGCTCCACGTTCACAAATTATCTGATTTTCTCTATACCAGAGGAAAAGGAAGCGATCAGGAGTATTTGATGCAGCAGAAATCAAGATGACTCCGCGTATGAATTCAAGATCTATCTTGTATCAACAAAAGCCCCCAAACCTCCTTCAACTCTAACAAAGAGCCAACAGCAAGACTCCCTCCCACGCCTGGTGTGAAACACGAGAAGACACAGGCAGCGGGGCCGGCACCTATCTGGCAAAAACTTACTATTTTTTTCGACGCATCGATTCCTTTTGCCCCTATCTATAGACTAGGAAACGGATACACGCGGGAGGGCCGTTCCTCAGGGCACCGGCAGCGGGCCTGCACCCAGCCCCAGCTCAGGTTCACGGGCCACGCGGTTCCCCAGTCACCCCGTGCAGAGCACCTACCACCCGCGCACCGAGACAAAAACGAGCTCAGGACGGTTTCTCACGTGTTCGCCATCAGCCAAGGAAGGTTACACGCGGCCCAACAACGTTTGTCCTGGAGAAGGCGTGGTGGAGCCGCTGCTCCCGGAGGCCGGGCACGCGCGTCCGCCGCCTCCCGCCCACGCTCGGGAGGACGCCCCAGGGCGCGGACGGCCCCGCAAACGCACCGCTGTCACCCCCATCTGACCCACCGCCGTCACTTACACTTGGCGTCCTTCCGCCGCGCCGTGAGCAGGAAGTCCTTGATCTCCTCGATTTTGCGAGGCTGCAACACAAAGACACGGAACGACCCGCAGACGCGCTTTACCTGGCGGTGATCAGCGCACCAGCCCCTCCCGGAGACCCCCGCCAAGCCGCTCCTCCCCCACTTCCCCGGGAAGTCCCGGCGCGCCGTACTCACCATGGCTGCGAGGGGCGCGGGACAGCGCGGCCGGCACCTGCGGGAAGAGAAGCGTTGGCGTCAGCGCAGCGCGGGGACCGGCGGCGACCCCGCTTCCGCTCCCCGCAGCCCCGAAATGCCGGCCCCATCACACTCCGTCCTTTTCCCCCGCACCCTCGGCCCAGACCCGGGGTCCCTGAATTTCACCCGGCCGTGGATTACGCTGGATTACCCCCTAGTTCCCGAGTACCGCCCGGAACACTCACAGCGAGCGAAGACAAGCGAAAAGGACGAAAAAGAACGAGACTTCCGTTTCCGGGCAGTTAAACGCTCCCCCGGAGGAAATTGCGTACGGTGTCTGCAAAGGGTCAAGAAGTATTAGGCGTTCGCCCTTCCCATTGCAGCATCTCTGCCCCCTTCTGGCCTAGATTGGTAGTGCAGCTCCACGAATGCAATGGGCTGCCTCCTTCTCCACGCTCTGTCTTCTTCTCCCGCCCCCACCCCCCAGACCCTGCCTCGGCTTTGCTAGGTTTTATTTCAGGTCCAGTTCGAAGACCTAACACTTATTATCTACTACTTTCATTAGACCTATGCATTGGGCATCTACACAGATTTTCTCATTTAAATGAAGGGACCCTCTTATGTACATTTTAAAACCTCTTTCTAGGGGTTCCCCACATTTCCTTCCGGTCTCCTTTTCCATGAATATCTAATCTGTCATGCGCAGGGCCCATTTGCTCTCCTCTTTCCATTTAATGGAGCTTTTCCACTTGCTGCTTCCAATTCCTTAAGAACTGGTGTACACTACAAACAAGTTGATACTTCCAATAGCTGACGTTTATCCAGCACTCACATCGGGCAGCCCCCGTGCTAAACACTGGACTCACAGCCTCTGTGAGTCTCAGGCGCACCTGGAGAGGAGGCTCTTGCTACCCCAGTCCTACCCACGGGGGAATGAAGGCTTGTCGGAGCTGGGAGAGGTGGAGTCGGGACTCGAACAAGCGGTGGTTGGATGCCCCAGCCCAGGCTCCTGCCACTTTACGAGGCTGCGCACCTAAGACGGGCTGGCAGCTCTGGGGAGGCAGCATTTCCTTTGTCCCTTGGTTCCTCCCAGTCTCCATCCCACGCCAGATAGGATTTTCTCCGCACACGTTTACCCTCAGCTCTTATATAACGTCTCCTCCGGTGGCTCCGAGGAACCTGAGGGTGTGGATTTTATTATCTTCCACTTTTATCTTTTAACCTCTCTACAAATGTCTACATTTTATTATTTTTGTTTCTTTCAAATTTAGTAACCGCACAACAGAATGTAATTGCCTCGTGCTCATTATTACCGAGCAGACCACCTGAAGAGATAGAGCACTGCACCCTGAACTTGACTTTGAACTCCTGCTCCTCCCTCCTGCTCGACAAGCTCAGGGCGAGCATCTTCCTCGGGGCGCTGGGGATACAGGGAAGAGTAAACCCACAGTCCTTGCCCCAGGGAGATCACAAAATCCTCTAACTGTGCTAGAGAGCCTTTTAAAAGAAGCCTAACTATTTTTCTGCAGCTGCAGAGGCATCTGCGTGTTAACAGTGGGAAAAGTTAATTGGTGGGAGCATCATTTTAGATTGTCTGAAGGTCGGTGTCCGGTCTGAGAGTCACTGGTGCCTCAGCCCTGACCTGAGAAGGACACCCCCAAATTCCTCAGCCTGCCTTTGCCAGCCCTCCTCCACCTCAGGCTGATGTCTTGCTGTTTTCTACCCTACTGCTCTGCCGTAAACAACCATCCTTTCAGCCCAACCAACTGGCCTCTTGATGTGCTGGGCACATCTTGACTCCAGGCATTGGCTATGCTGTCGCCTCTAAGACTAAGTCCTTCTCTTTCTTCAGAGCTCATCTCCCACTTCTCCTTCAGGCAGGACCTTACACCTCCATCTCCTGTCGCTCGTCACTCCTGTTGCAGTTACTCACACACACCTCTCGATAGACTGTGCAGCAGTGTTAAACCTTTCATACGTTTGTACTGACTTTTCTTTGAAGGCAACAACAGGGTTCCGCATTCTGTTGATAACTCTTGAAATGAAGTACTCATATATATATAGTAGGTGCTCACTGTGGGCGTCACAGGATTCTCAAGCTGGATGAGCTTCTGAGATCACTCACTATATGAAGGGTGGATGGACTGATGGAGGGATGGATGGATAAATGAATGAAGGGATGGAGAGAGGGATGGATAGATAGAAGAAAGGATGGGGAGATGAGAGAGGAAGAGATGAAGAGATGGAGGAGGGAGGGAGGGAGAGATGGAGGGATGGAAGATGGATGGAGGAAGGGATGGAGAGATGAGGGATGGAGGGATGGAGGAAGAGATGGAGAGGGGGAGGAACAGATAGATGGAGGAAGGGATGGAGAGATGGAGGAATACAGGGATGGAGGAATAGAGGGAGGGATGGAGGAAGGGATGGAAGGATGAATGGAGGAAGGGATGGAGAGATGAGGGATGGATGGATGGAGGAAGAGATGGGGGGGAGGAACAGATGGATGGAGGAAGCGATGGAGGGATGGATGGAAGAAGGAAGGGATGGAGAGATAGAGGGAGGGATGGTGGAATTATTTGGACAAAGCAGTGCTTGGCACATAGTAGGGCCACACAAATAGTTGTTGAGTAAATGCCTGGTGCTTCTCCCCACTGCAGGACCTACAGGACAGGGACAGGGGACGGGGAGGAGCTGCACCTCCCTTTTGGCAGCGATCCCAGAGAGACAGATGTTCGCCCTCTTGAATCGTATAATAAGGGAGCACAGATGTGTAGTAACAAAACACAAAGGCCAATTTGTTCAAGTACCGAAGGTTTTCTCCAGCTCCCCATGGGGGACGAATAGCAAAATAAATGGCAGCTACTGAGAGGTGGAGCAAGGAGCCCGGAGAGAACGCTTCCCATGCTGCAGGGAAGATGAGCCCCAGATGTGATGGTGTGGCAGGGACTGTTGGAGGCAAAGGGCCAAAGGCCTGGCCTTGAGTGAAACAGCCTCTGAGAGTGGAGCCCAGGATGCTGCATTTGACAGAAGCTTCTCCAGTGGGGCTGATACACACGCAAGATGGAAAACTCTACAAGGGCCCAGGGTGGGTGGAGATGAAGGCCCCGGACTTGAGAGCAGGGAATACACGGTCCAGTTTGCCTGTTACAGGTCACAGTGGCTGTGAAGCATTGAGAATGGGTTGGAATGTCCGAGACTGGTGGCCATGGGAATGGTGAGGGCTACTGCTATTGTCCAAAGGCCGGGGAGAAGGGTCTTAACCAGGGTGGTGGCAGTGTGGTCAGAGAGCTGGAGACGGACAGAGGGCACGGCTAGAGCTGTGGGAAGCATCCACTCCTTCCCTACCATCAACCTGCTGGGCTCAGGGCCGCCTGGCTGGCTCGGCAGCACGTAAGGCACACAGCCTTGGCCTCCCCCAGCAGGCACGGCCCCCGCCACCCCTGAAGGCTAACCTGCTTAGATTTCTCCTCAGCCTTCAGGGCACGTTGGAAGCAGGACCAGGACTGGGCAAAAAACTAGCAGCCAACCTCACAGTGGGGCAGAGGGACAGTATGATACAGGGCATGGTCGGAAGGGGCTGGGAAGACCTCCCCAGCCTCCAAGTTTTCTCTCTTTCAGTTCACTCCATTCATTCAGTTAACGTTTAATGAACTCCTACTCTGTGCCAGGGCCTGGGAATAACCAGAGCGTGGGGCCTGCTCTGAAGGAGCTCACAGGCTGCTGCCATCCTGACAAGATGGGGGGCGGGGGGCTGTAACTGCTCCTGAAGGAGGTGTGTCTCACTCACCCCGGGCCGCCATAACAAAATACCATAGACTGGGGGACTTAAACAACAGAATTTTATTTCTCACGGTTCTGGACCCTGGGAAGTCCAAGATCAAGGTGCCGGAGGATTCGGTGCCTGGTGAGCACTCTCTCCCTGGCTTGCAGATGGCTGCCTTCTCCTTGTGTCCTCACTTGGTAGAGAGAGCTCTGGTCTCTTCCTCTTATAATGACTCTAATCCCATCATGGCCCCCCCCCCCCATGACCTCATCTAACCCTAATCACCTCCCCAAGGCCCCACCTCCAAATACCATCACATTAGGGGTTGGGGCTTCAGCATATGGATTTTGGAGGGACCCAGTCAGTCCATAACGAGGTGACAGGAGAGCTCAGCCTCGAGGGGTGAGCAGGAGTTTCCCAGGAGAAGTGGCGGGGGAGGGGCTTCCAAGCAGAAGGAGGAGAGAACAGAATCTGCTCAGGGTCAGGAGGGCACAGGGCATTCCTGGACATAGGAGTTCAGTGTGGCCGGAGCAGAGGCGAGTAGGGTCTGGGGGTGGAGGACAGGGAGAAGAGGCTCAAGGGGGAATTGGGGGGTCTGAGACCCTCAGGCGTTCCCATTCCAGCCTCACCTACACCCTTGGGGAGCCGGACTTCTCCCCATCACAGAACCACTTCTTGGCCTCAGGAGCCCTTTCAACCCTGCGGGAAATCGGTGAGCTGCCCGCTCACTGGGGGATGCGGTCAAGAGGTCAGCAGCGAAAGGCTGGTGGGGTCCCGAGCACCAAGGGCTGTGCCAGGTGGTAGGATGGTGAGCGAGCTCCGCCCTGGCCCTCCGGGGCTTCCCGTGGGGGAGCTCATGGTTTCCATGAGCGCCGGGAGGCAGGGGTAGAGGAGCGGCACCGCGCACTGCCTGTCCCACTGCCGCTGCTCTGCGGGTCCGCCCGGTCCTCCGGGCTTGCCCCCTGAAGGCATCATCGTGCAGCAGCGGGTGGCTGGCTCCGGCCTCGCCTCCTTCACTCCCTTGTGTCTAAGGCAAGGTGTGTGGGAGACTTCCTCTCCTCCCTCGGGGCTGCTGTGAAGCCTAACTGGGATCATTAGAAAAGCCAGTCAGTGCCGCCCTGACTTCCTCCAGGAGGTCTGGAAACAGCTCCTGCCCTGGGTGTAGTGTCCACCAGTGGCCACACGGGGGCGCCAAGGCCGTGACTGGAAATGGGAGGTGAAGGAACCAGCCCCTTTCTGCCTTGAATCCTAAAATCTCAGGCTGAGAGTAGTTACAGAAATTAGAAGTAATATCTTGTATGCTGTTTCATACCTGACGGGGTGCTTTCATATCTACCATCTCATATAATCTCCAGGAGGTCCCCAGGAGCCCCATGTCTTTGGCTGCTGGCAGGGCTGGCCTTTAAACCATCTCAGAAGGGAGTTAACTAAACCTTCAAGGTTGTCGGCAGGGAGAGTCTGGAGTCCCTCTGGCTGAACTTGGTTACCTGGGAGAAGGAGGGGAGGGAGGAAGGAGGCAGGGTGCAGGCATTGGGGCTAGTGATTTTTTG